TCCATCAGCTGGGAGTAATGTGAGTTGTAGCCCAAAGTGAAGACTAATTAGGGGATTATATCAAGGAACTTCCACAATCCTGATCACTGATAGAGATGCCTTCCATCTCTTCAAAGGAGCCCAGTTCCACCAGGCAGACGCAGGTGTGCCAATGCAAACATGGGCAGGAGTTGGGGGCTTCAACCAGTCACATGGATCCAGCCTGGCATAGCTTTCAGAGTTGTTGCAATCAAATAGAAAGCTATTAATCATGGAAGTTGATAGAACAGAGGTAACCCTGCTATAGGTCACCCTAATTTCCTTGAAGGAAGGTTAGGATATAAAAATGTGTATTTGCAATGTAAATAGTAGCTAGGGGAATGATTGAACATCCTCTAGGCTAAAAGGTGTGGAGGGGGACTCTTCCTTTGCTGCCACAGTCCTAATAAAAGTCCTCTCTCTGAAGCTGCTATTTTTAGCTACTGAGCTAAATTCAAGGTTTTATTACGGGGGCATATCCAGCTTAAGACCAGGATATCCGAGAAGCCACCTCTTCCCTACATCTCATCCCTGTCCTTTAGACTTGTGGGTGGAGATCTGTTGATGGTGCTGCACACCCCAAAGTGCCATGGCTCACTAAAGTAGAATCTGCTTTGCATGCAGAAGGTCTCAGGTACAATCTCCAGTATCTTCAAGTAGGATTGGGAGCAATCCTGGAGAGCCAATGCCAGTCTGTGCATACAGTTCCATGCTAGATGGACCAGTGGTCTTGTAAGGCAGATTCCTGTGTATCCCTGTGGGTAAAGCATGCTGTTACTTGAGCATGTGTTTTTAGCATTGTGTCACCAGTTCTCTGGCATTCTCTTCCATTAGGTTGCCGCATTTTGGACATTTGTTTAATAATCTTTCATTTTCTCCCAAGCCTTCCAAAATTAGGCTTGCTGTTTGTTTGTTTGTTTGTTTGCTTGCTTGCTTGCTTGCTTGCTTGCTTGCTTGCTTGCTTGCTTTCTTATTTGCTTGCTTGGTTTTTGAACCTGCCCTTTACCATAAGGTCCCAGGGCGAGTTACAACCTAATTTACAGTTATAAAACCATGACAATTATAAAAACAATTTAAACTATCTCCAGTGGAACAGAGGCATATAAATTCAACAAAAAGGGTGGATCCCACAAAATGAAATAAGCTGCATTTCTTCAGTTCCATATTCATCTTTTTATGTTTTCATATTCTTCTATGACCCATTTTATTTTTAAAAATAGTTTCTGCACTTCACTTTTTATGCTGATTTACTGTTTCCTTGTGCTGTATTTTGTGCTTTCATATTTTATTGTTACGTGGAGGTTCCCCCATCCTCCCTTAGAGATCTAAAGCTGCTTTGTGGAGCAAGTTACTTTAAGGCAGAGGATTCCTTTTTATGAATGAATGAATTTCAGTTTCAATGAATGCTTCCATTGGCACCAATGGAAACTTTCCTTGAAATATGAATATCAGCTCTGGAGAGGTTATTTTTTAATCAGAGTATGGCAAGGAGAGATTTAAAGCCCCCTTCCCATTCACCCTTGGGCTGTTTAGACATTGACTGAATACCTGCTCCCATTTACTCTGCATCCAGTGCTGTCCCACCACTGGTTTGGGATGAACAACATTCACGACAATACATTTCTATCCTGTATCTATCCTGCCCTTTTCTTATGAAATGCTTCATTCTGATGCATTCCCCATGCCCACCAAATTGACTTTGATATGAATTGAGAAAAGTCACTGCATTTTGAGCCAATAATGTGTGCACAGCTTTTCCTATACCTGCTGTTAACGTTATAAGAATAAAAAAGCTAATGCAATTCTAGGCATAATCAGGCGAACTGTAGTGTACAGATCAAGGGAAGTAATAGTACTATTCTATTATGCCTTGGTCAGAATACATCTGCAGTACTGTGTCCAGTTCTGGGTGCCACAGTTTAAAAAGGATATTCGCAAGCTGGAACATGTGCAGAGGAGAGCGACCAAGATGATAAAGAGTGGTGAAAACCAAACCTTATGAAGAACGTTTGAGGAACTTGGGTATGTGTAGCCTGGAAAAGAGGAGACTGAGAGATGTTCCAATAGCCATCAACTATCTGAAGGATTTCCATAGAGATGATGGCGCAAGCTTGTTTTCTGCTGTTCCATTGGGTAGCATCCAATGGATTCAAATTACAAGGAAGTAGATTCTGACTAAACATTAGGAAGAATACTCTGATGATAAGACCTGTTTGACTGGGGGACAGATTCCCTCAGAAAGTGATGGACTTTCCATCATTGGAGGTTTTTAAACATCCATCACTGGATGGCCAGGGATTCTTTAGTTATGTTTCCTGCATTGTATGGGGGTTGGACTAGATGACCATTGGTGTCATTACCAACTCTCCAATAATAATAATAATAATAATAATAATAATAATAATAATAATAATAATAATATTTCTACCCCTACCCCTTCCCCAGTCACTCTGGGTGGCTTCCAACAAAAGGTTAAAAATACATTAAAACATAAGTCATTAAAAACTTCCCTAAACAGGGCGGCCTTCAGATGTCTTCTAAATACCAGATAGTTGTTTATTTCTTTGAAATCTGATGGGAGGGCATTCCACAGGATGGGGATTTATGTGATTCTATGATATACAGAATGCATGACAATAATCTAGGGATTGTCTAGTAACAACAGTAGTTGCTGCAGGTACATCCCCATCATCTGAGTGAACAAGGCAGTGCCAGCTGGTGTTGTAGGCAAATAACTTGTGCCAATTGGCAGGGTGGTCCATCTCCTTCCCTTTCTCCTTATTCCATCTACCCCCACCCCCTTATGTCCCCCTATGCCGCATGAAGATTTTCCAAACCCTAAAAATCCTCAAAAATTGCCTAGTTATTAATCTCATAATTAGTGCATAATCATAATCATAGGCTGCAAACAAATTCTCTTATTAATTCTTCCCACAAAGTATACCATTGTTCAGCACAATAATCTTTCCTTCTGTAGATGTTTGGTAATGCGGGCTGATGCTTATTCAGCCCAAATGGTACCTGCCCTCAGACTAGAGAGGTATCAGCAGGTTTGGAGCGACTCCCACCTTTGCAGAAGTTCAAACCATCTTTCGTTGAGATGAGACCTAAAGGGAAGATCCAAAACAGATGAATGAGAATTGAGCGCTTTCAGTGATAATGGAATCCTCTGTAATCATTGTTTGCAGGTAGCAGAGACGGAAAATCAGCTGGAAGGGGGAGTGGAGGAGGGCAAGCTTGCTGACTGGAACTTGATTTTGCAACATTTTATTGCACTGGAGTCTGGTCACAGGTGACACATCCTGGTTTGCTGCTTGAGGCAAAATGGGAAGTGCCCCCTGGCCTGTTGCAGTCACCATACCGCCTACATCGCCTGCCCCACTGCTAGCAGAGAAGTGGATTTCAGGTGAGAGCTCACTGGCTTCTGGTGAGATCTCACACGCTCCACAAGATCTCACATAATTTCAGTGAATTCTTGCTGGCAGTGGGTGAGATCTTGCCAAAATTTATGTCAGTGCCAGTGCCACTTCTCCATCACGGTGGAGCAGGTGAACTGCTAGCCCATGGATAGGCAAACTAAGGCCCGGGGGCCAGATGCAGCCCAATCGCCTTCTCAATCTGGCTCGCAGATGGTCCAGGAATCAGTGTGTTTTTACATGAGTAGAATGTGTCCTTTTATTTAAAAATGCATCTTTGGGTTATTTGTGGGGCCTGCCTGGTGTTTTTACATGAGTAGAATGTGTGCTTTTATTTAAAATGCATCTCTGGGTTATTTGTGGGGCATAGGAATGGGTTCATATTTTTTTTCAAAATATAGTCCAGCCCCCACAAGGTCTGAGGGACAGTGGGCCAGCCCCCTGCTGAAAAAGTTTGCTGACCCCTAAGCTAGCCTAATGGCTGTGTAGGCCCTGAGTCTGGTCCATTAGAGTGAATGGGGCAGTGCTCCACCAAACTCAGTCTGCTCTCAACCAGCACCCACCTACCTTCTTACTTACAACCAGCCCAGGGAATGGACCTGGCCATCAGATTTCTCTCCTTGGTCTCAGTTCTTCCCTTGCAGAACTCAGCAGGGAGAAGGATGGGAAGAAAACTAGAATTGGTTGCCTCCCACTGTTGTTGTCTCTGGCTCTGCCTATTGTTGGCTTCCCTGTCTTCTGCCTTACCAACCTTAATGGGTACAAGCCACAATTGTGAAGCATAAGAACTCAGAAAAAAATTGCCAAGATTCAGTTATAAAAAGCTTTTTCACTTATTGAAAGATAAGAAAAGAAGTATCCTAAACAAAACAACAATCCTAGTATGTTTGTTATTTCAGTTAGGGAGGTGATGACAGAATAGCCCTTCTAAAAAGTGGAGGAATGTTTCTTCTGTAATCAAAACTGAGTTCTTTCTGTGCTGCCCCAAATCCAGACAGAGGCAAGTTTCAAAATATTCTGGAATGCAGCACGAGCTATCTAGGACGTCTTATGTTCAAGATCCCACTGAAATGAGCAGCAGTTTGGTGACAGCTCATTTGAGCTTAGGAATAAGGTAAAGGGACCCCTGACCATTAGGTGCAGTCGTGGACGACTCTGGGGTAGTGGAGCTCATCTCACTTTATTGGCCGAGGGAGCCGGCATACAGCTTCCGGGTCATGTGGCCAGCATGACTAAGCCACTTCTGGCAAGCTAGAGCAGTGCACGGAAATGCCATTTACCTTCCCGCCAGAGTGGTACCTATTTATCTACTTGCACCTTGACATGCTTTCAAACTGCTAGGTTGGCAGGAGCAGGGACCGAGCAACGGGAGCTCACCCCGTCACAGGGATTCGAACCACCGACCTTCTGATCGGCAAGCCCTAGGCTCTGTGGTTTAACCCACAGCACCACCCTTGTCCCTGAGCTTAGGAGTGGGAGGGTGCAATTTGCTCAGGAGAAGCTCCTACTGGATTGGGTGCATATTTGTACAATGCATATTTTGCATATTTGTGTATTTGGTGAAGGGCTGTGGCCCAGTGTTAGGGCATCTGCTTTGTACACAGAAAATCCCTAGTTCAATCCCCAGCATCTCCAGGTAGAATTGAAAATGTTCCCTGGCTCCAAACCTGGAGAGCCACAGCCAGTCAGTTCAGACAATACTGAGCTAGATGGACCAGTGGTCTGTCTTCCTTTGTTCCTGCCTTTTTGTCACGCTGAAGAAACAGGCTGCTTCTGGTCAGGAATGATGGACTGTTACCCTGCAGACCAGATTCTCACAAATAGACATGCACCAAGACTCTTTTTTGTTCCCAGAACACCCACCGATCTTGCCTGAGGTACAATTGTAGCATCTTTGGCAGTGAAGGGGAAAGAGTAAGACATCAGAACCACCTATAAACAGCAGTTTGAGAAATGCTGCAAGGGAAGTTTGAGAGATGGCAAAATGGGTATTTGTTGCTGCTTCTGCTTTCTGCTCTTATGATCTGGTACATCAGTGAAACATGGCAAAGAAGTATATTGAGATGCCACTCAGCTTGCAAAAGCTAGCTCCTTTTCATACATTCGTTCTTTTCTTATGGAGTTTCAGCCTGTGTATAACAAACCACCTGTCTCCTAGTCTTTTTCAATGTGCCAACAACATAGATGTCATGCCCAGCCTTGTCCTCTGAGCAGGACACCCAATTCCTGAGGACACACTGCACCTCTTTTAGACTGAAGACTTGAAGGAACAGACAGGGTCTCCTGTCATCAGTCTTGACAATCCTGAGAGTTCAAGGTGAGGCTCGCCAAGGCTGACTCCAGGGAATTTCCTTGAGGCCTGGGGGCCTTGGGATGGGGTCCAGTTTACCAGTGAATGAAGCCTGAGTGGAGTCCAAGAGAGTCAGAGCCACCCCCCCCAAAAAAAACCCCTAAGAGGACGGGTGCCTACAGATTCTGGCCCAGGCCCAGGCCCATGTTGAACTGCATGCACAAGAGCCCCAAACCTCTGTGTGACTCTGAAGAAAAGGCAGTGGCAGACCTACATTTTGGGGCCTTGAAGCTTGAACTTTTATGGGGTCCCCTTCACAATCAGCAACAAGGTCTAGGTAATCACTGTTATCTTCTTCAACAGGTTTGCTTGCAACAACCTTTTAAAACATCTGTGGTACTGACTCTCAAACTTTGGGATTGTTGAAATATATACAACAAAAAAACAAACAATTTGAGTCATGCCACTCAATTGGGTCAACTGGACCCATTTTTTAAAAAAGCAATGTGGTTCTGGGGCCCCTCTGGGATTAGGGGCTTCAATTGTTTCATACTTCTCAAGCAAAGGGTCTCTCAGAACACCATTCAGCACTGACAGCTGGCATTAAGCGTTAGATAGGCTGTATCAGCCTTTGCTGGAATAACGCAGGTCTATACCATAACCATATACCATATACAAGATACCATATACAAGATACCATAATTTAGCTGATGCTAACCCTTGGGCTGTTACCTTCTGTCATTGCCTATGGCAGGGCTGTAACTACGGTGGGGGGGGGGGGCTGGGTTTTTTTGCCCTGGGTGAAGCTTCCTGAAGGACACCATTGAGGCTCCATGTGGGTGTGGGTATGTGTGCCAAATCCAGGTGAAATAAAGCCTAATTTTGCCCCTAGCCTATAGATCACTTTTTTTGGACTCAGACTGATTACCAATACCTGGTTCTGGTTTGTCTATGACTTTACATGCATAACTTAACCCTGCTGCAGTTTGGCAATCTCATAGGTGATGCTTTAACTTCCCTGGGTGCTATAAGCTACCCCACAAACTGAACTTGCTGCAGCAACAATAAAAGAGATGACCTTTCATTAAAATAACCAGCATTTATCACTTTGGTAAATGTTGGACAAAAGTAGCTTAGGTTTACTGATGTCAGAAGGATTCTTTTGTGCCAACAAGCTGGAAGGGGGGAAAGTGCAAGGGAAGGATTCTGTTCCACATCATGCACTTCAGCTTACTTGATTCTAAAGTGATAATGATTCTATTTGCTATCCCTCCAAATGTGATGTTAATGCTTGACTGATTAGCATTTATATAAAATACTTGGAGAACCTGATAAGAACATGGCTAAGCATATGCTGGTGCTCAGTATTCTTGCTATATAATTGAATCTGCTTAGTAATTAGAAATGGAAAAAAATAATACTGTGATTTCCTGTACCTTGTTCTGCTTTCCAAGAAATAATTTTGAAGATCTATATACCACATTCATGATGTAGCTTATAACAGATTGTGATAATATAAAGAGCCCCCAAACTCACTCTCTCACACAGACTCACACATATTCATGCGTATATACACACCCAACAGCCTTGGGGCTCATCCAGACATCTGCTTGATCCTCAAAACCCAACCTTTAGCACTCAAGCAAAGCAAATATCAATTGGGTTTTTCCTAGATTGATGTTTGCTAAAGCTAAAGAGTGAGTTTTCTCCAGGAAAAGAGCAGGGTAAACTCAAAACCACTTGGATCTGTGCTTTCTTAGCATGGGACAAGCAGAAGTATGGATGAGTCCAAATCAGCCTTTGGAGCCACAGGTTATTTCAGGCAGGAAGAAGGAAACTGCTCCTTCCTCTTGATCAATGGATTTGGCCAGGCTAATCTGCCCTTTGCCATTTTTCTTGGGAGCTGGGGGATGCAGCCTTTATCTCCTGGATGATGGCAGAGGCCAGTGTCTGCTGCCCTTCATTTTAACAGGGACTGGGAATTAGCAGGTTCTGAAATTGTCAACTGTTCAGTGGGAGAATGGAGGCCCTGGCTATTCCTGGCTATCACTGGCTCTCCTGTTTCTGACCATTTCACCCCATTGTACAACCCGGCTGAATCTACGCACATATAAAAACCATTCTGAAAATGCTTTTTTTTAAAGTGTTTTTTTTTTAAAAAAAAATACCACACAAACACATTGAATTTTCCATAAAGCTCACCATCCCCATCTAGTGTCACATTGTATATTGCACTTAGAACACACTTAAAACGTTTTATTTGCAGCTGTATAGCTGAGTCCACAGTCTAAAGGCATGCCTTTTAGAAAGTCTCTTGCTGGTTGAATCAAAATGATTTACATGGGATGCTGCTAACAGCCTGGAAAGAAACTCACTCTATTTTTGATTGAATATGATTTCCTGTAGAAAACCCTGATGGTTTCTTTTTGAAGACTTAAAAGCCAAGTAAAATTATTGCACTGGGGTGTATGTGTGTGTTCTGCAGCTAGCAGAGAAAGAATTGCAGTGGGGTGGATGATAGTGGCTGCTTGGGAAGAATGCATATTAGTTCATTAAGATGCACAGCTCAACTCAGGGCAGCAGTAAAGAAAGGCTGGTCCATTAGGATGAATGGAGCACTGCCCCAACAACCTCAGCCTGCTCCCAGACAGCCCTCGTCTGCCTGCCTTCTTGCAATGAGCCCAGTGTGTGTGTGTCGGCTTCCTCTTTCATAGTCTCAGTGTCTCCCTTTGTAGAGCTTTGCAGGAAGGAGGGAGGCGGAAACAAAACCAGAATTAGCTTTCCCTGCCAGTCATTGGCTCATGCTCCACCTTATCCCATGGGCCTGACTCTGTCTATCTAGCAAAGCTTTTCCTCTCTGATTCACAGTGGGTTTTGGGGCAGAGAAAGGTCTTTTCTATCACCTTGATGCATGGTGTGACAGAACAGGAATGTTTTTATTTCTCTCCCATCCCCAGGGTGTGGCAGTGGTTGTTCAATCATTTTCCTAGGTGCTATTTACATTGCAACACACACACACACACACACACACACACACACACACACACCCCCAACACAGACACTAATTGCATTCTTGCAATGTTAATATCATGTCCTGCCTGGACTCCTTTTCTCTATTCCTTCCCAGCCCTTGCAATGGGCCCTCTTAGCAATGGCATATTGCTGCCATGTTCAGAGAAGCTAGGTATGTGCAAAAGTGTTCTGAGCAGCTGCCTTAAGGACCTCCTGCCTTCCAATTCTCAGAATTGTCTACACTGACTGGCAGTGGCTCTGCAGGATTTCAGGCAGGGTTCACTCCCCACTCTTACCACTCTTACCTGGAGACGACAGGCACTGTCTGGAAATGGCAGGGATTGAACCTGGGATCTTCTGCATGCAAAGCAGATGCTCAACCACTGAGCCATAGCCCTCATCTAACTTCTCAGAGGTGTATGATTGGCCACTGGAGAAAACAAGATGCTGGAGTAGATGGGCCTTGTCAGCTTTCCCAGCAGGGCTGGCCCACCCACAAAGGCAGAGGGAAGCAGCCACCTCAAGGTGGTGAAAGCCTCTGATGTGGCACCCCTGTGGGTGTTCCACCACCAGCAAAGTAGTGCCGGCATTTGTGCCAATTTCCAGTGAGATCTTGCCAAAATCCTGCAAGATTCCACATGAGAGAACTTGTGAAACAAGATCAGTGGAGGAGGCAGCAGGCGACACAGAGGCAGTGGTGCCAGTGGAAGTGGCAGGGCAGGTGTTGAAGGACTTTCTATCTTGCCCCAAGAGTGGCAAACAGGATGTGCCACCCCTGCTTAACAGGGTTGTTTTTAAGCTATGATAAATTTATAAAGCAGTAAGAAGATCAGAGCAATGGTCCACCTAGTCCAGCATATTGTTCTCACAGTGGCCAGTTAGTAGGGCTGCCATACATCTGGGTTTCCTCCAGACGCATCCTTGTTTTCAGGGTCAAAATTTCTGTCTGGGTGGATTTTTAAAATTGGGCAAAAAGTCTGGGTTTCTTTTCTTTTTTTGGCTTTGCTTGTCTGTGCGTGCATACACACAATTCAGATATACTGCCCACCCACCCCAAACTGGAAGCCCAGGCAGTGATATGACCCCTTTCATCCTCTGTGGCATGAACACTTCCCCCCTTTGCCCTGCACAATCTTATTTTCTGGATGTACATCTGGGTTGCCAGTGTGCTTGGTGCCCGTTGTGTTGGAGCGAGCGGGTGCAGGAGAGAGGATGAGTGAGCTGCTCCGTCTGCAGTGTGTGGAGCTGGGTGGCGAGTAAAGAGAGTGGCTGGGCACTGGCAGTCCAGATTTATGTATAAGCTAAACAAGCTATAGCTTAGGGCCCCACTCTCTTGGGGGGCCCCCCAAAAAAATTAAAGGGGAAAAAACTGGATGTACCTTTCCAAAATATAAGATAAAAAACAAATAAAATAAAACCTACATACAGCAATAGTATATATTAATAATTATTTCACTATTAATATACTTCTTCTTAATTGTATTTCACTAGATAAATAGATAGATAGATAATTTATTACGGTCGGAGACCAGCTTATAAAACACTCTTGGGGGTACAATCCCAGAAGGAAAACAAACATTTAAAACAATGTACAACAATAAATTTAAAATGTATAAATGCAATAAGCATGTATTTCACTATTAATATACTTCTTCTTAATTGTATTTCAGTTCAACAATTACCTTGATAAAATACATATTTTGTTATGTGCAAATGGCTTTAGAAACCTATTAGGTCCATAAATTACCATATAGCATATATTCAACACAAAAACCAGTGGCAATTTGTTGTTGACAAAGGACAGCTGGACATATAAAGGGCCCCATTACCTTCAGTAGCTTAGGGCCTCATAAAACCTAAATCCGGCCCTGGGCACTGGCGTGCTCGTGTGCGTGTATGTGGATAGCTGGCGGTTTGTTTCCCTGCCTTGACAACGATGCGGGCGGGCAGCTGGTGGGGTCGCTTTTCCCTTTGGCAGCCCAGAGCTTGCACTGTCCCGACTGCGGCGAGCCAAAGTCATGCGTGCTCATGATTGGGGCCATCATCAATTGCAGGAGGGCTGAGGAAGCTGAGGGTGTGAGGGGGCTGGTATGCGGGGACGGCTGACTGGCATGGGGCGGGTTGGTGGGGTGAGGAAATGAACTGAAAAGTCAAACTGCAATTAACTGAAACACTCTGGAGGAAGGCGAGGGGACTTTGCATGGCTTGTGTGCGCGCGTTTCTGCTGCCTACTCCCCCCTCCCCCGCTTCCTCTTTCTGGGTGGCTGGGTGACTACTTGGGAGAGGGTGCAGATAGGGAGGGGGCGCAGACCCTGAAAGTGGAATAGTAAGGACGGGTATCGTCACTGTGGCTTCTGATTGGCTGCTCACCTCGCCTGGGCACCTGGGCACTCTGTTCTTGCAACACTTTCAGGCGTTTAGGCGTGAGAGCGTGAAGTTGCAGGCCGGGTTTGGAGGCACTGCGGGCGGTAGTTTGCTAATTCCCCGCCTTTCTCAAACAGGATTTGAGCGAGAGTCCGCTTGATGGGGCTGGTGGCAGTTGCCATGGAGGTTAGAGAGAGGTGGTGTTGTTGGGTCTAGTCTGGTCGGGTGGGTGCCAGGTTGTGGAATGTGATGGGGTAATGGGAATAAGGACGCCACTGGCGAAAGGGGGAAGTATGGCCAGGTAAGTATGGAGTCCTGAGGGGCAGACGCTGCAGCACGTAGGGGAGAAGGCAGATGCAACAGCATGTGGTTGTCATTTGGAAAACCCGTTGAATTGGGGTTGTGGGCTAAACCACTACAAATGGGGAAGGTGATTTTTGGGTATGCTTCCTGGACACACACACATACACAGACAGCATAAAGGTAAAGGGACCCCTGACCATTAGGTCCAGTCGTGGCCGACCCTGGGGTTGCGGCACTCATCTCACTTTATTGGCCGAGGGAGTCGGCGTACAGCTTCCGGGTCATGTGGCCAGCATGACTAAGCCGCTTCTGGCGAACCAGAGCAGCACACGGAAACACTGTTTACCTTCCCGCCGGAGCGGTATCTATTTATCTACTTGCACTTTGACGTGCTTTCGAACTGCTAGGTTGGCAGGAGCAGGGACCGAGGAACGGGAGCTCACCCTGTTGTGGGGATTCGAACCACCAACCTTCTGATCGGCAAGTCCTAGGCTCTGTGGTTTAACCCACAGCACCACCCATGTACACAGACAGCATACTAATGTTCAAAATAAAATAAATATGCTTGCAGCCTCTCAGTTTCTCCTGCCCTCGCTGATCCAGAGAGTTTGTAAGCTAGTTAACCTTTTCTATTTGGTGCTCCCCATGTGAAGTGCAATAACTGTTGTTGTTACTAATGCTAATTGTATGTTTAGTCCAACTTTCCTCCCAGGGAGCTCAAGGCGTCCAATGTGGTTCCCACCCACTCACCCATTTCATCCAGACAACAACCCTGTGAGGTGTGTTAGGTCTCCCAGGGATATCTGTGCTCTTTTGCTCTTCAAAATATGGCAACCCTACCAGGCAAGTGCTTCCAGGAAGCACACAAGGAGGACCTGAATGTAGCAGCAACTCTCCCCACTTGTGACTCACAGCAACTGGTATTCAGAGGCATATTTCCTCCCAACAGTGGAGGTGGAGCACAGCTGTCATGTCTAGCACCATGAAGGATGATTTTTTGATGATTTCCCCCTTCTGCTCAAATTTAGTTATACACAAATCCCTGTGGAAACAATATCTGTATTGATGTGAGATTAATCATGGGCTTGCTGTGGGGTGTGTGCATGCGCGCGCGCTCTAATTCCTTTTTCATAAACTTGAGACTTCCATTCTCCCCCCCTAAACACCTGCAAGAATAAACAAACCCAGACTTTGTGGTATTGTGGCATTTGCAGTGACGAGGTGTCATAGACTCTCAAGTTTACGTTTAATCTCTGTGCTCTTAAAAAGAGGGACAAAACTGGCCTAAATCAGCCTGCTTCAGTAGTTCTTGCGTGGCAGGACACTGAAGGGCTGATCAAGTCAATACAGAGCCAGTCAATACAGTTTTCCAGGGACTTTGGAAATTTCAGCAGGCACTGCCCATATATTTCCAGGCTGCTTTTTGCAACACTAAAGGGCAAAATGTGCTATTAAAAAAACCAACTCAAAGATGAATAATACCAAACAAAAAAACCCCCAAACCAAACCAAGGGTGAATAACACCCTTGATGCTGGATTCTGTGCTTGGATTCTGCAATCACAGAATTATTTACATTGTTCCTGATGTTTATTCATGAGTGCTGTTACTTGCGCCTGCCATATCCATTTCATTATTGCACATTCTGCTGCCTAATCCTCCATTCTCCACCTATCTTCCTCCTGAGAATAGGCAATCAGATCCATCCTCAATGTTTGTGTGACATGACACCCCACAGGAATAAGCAGGGTGAATTCGATGTGGCAGTTGTCTTCTAAAATCTGCTGGCAGAGTCCCATCGATCTATGAAGTTACGCCTCAGTAAATGAGAAGGCTGTTCCACCTGCTGTGAGATTTACACTGCAGGGATTAAGCGCAGAAGCATGTTTGAGTCAATACCAAATAAATATTTGTGATGTTTGGACGGGGTGGCCTTGGTTTTAGGGTGGACAGATATATTAAAAATGAGACCCAATATTTATAACAAGGTAAATATTTAGAATGCATAGTCTAAATGGGTTGTAAGGATAGGTTTTTTTTAAGTTTGCTATGTCTCCCTCCCTCCTTCAGTAATTCTTTGGGAATAGCTCCAGAAGTGTTCACTGAGTGAGGGTAGTAGTGATCCAACAGCATTTTCCGTCACTCACAATTGCCTTTGTTTTCACTTTGTGATGTCATTATGATGTCAAATCTGATTGACTGTGCAGCATTGCAATAGCAGTTTCACTATAGCTCTTCGGGGACACAACAAGTACCTTTAGCTCTACCTTCATTACCATGCAGCTATTTTTGACTTCCTAATGTCCGGGCAAACACCTGCAGTGAGAAGCCTGCTTCTGTAGGGTCCCCACACATCAATCTAGATCACATAGAGATGCTACACAAGAGTAGCAGTCTTTCTACTAGAGATACTTGCTCTGGGTATGTGGGAAACCAGAGGGAAAATAGAGCATTGGGGCTAAAGTCTTGGTCCCACAATTCCTTTGTACAGTGACCCTTCACAGCAGTAACAACTGAATTAGGGCTTAAGTGATTCTTGATTGGCTGGAATTGTCTATATGACAGAAGGTCCAGGAATTGGGGGGGGGGGGTAAGATGCAGCAGAGAAGTGAATCAATCACAAAAATTAATGGCATTGTCAGGGTCTATTTTGCCCAACATATTAAATACAATTGCATTGTAAAATAGAAATGGCCCAAGGATTAACATGTTCAAAGAGGGAGACAATTTCTTTAATACAAAAACCATAAATAAACACAGCAAGAGATTTTTTTTTTTAGTTCTTCCCTTTTCAGGGAAGTTTTTAAGTTGTGAGTGTCCAGTAAATGACAGCTCTGAAGCTTCCTGCTTAGTATCATGCTGTTGGAGGTTACAGGGGGCATTCCATAAATCTCAAGGGAGACTGTAGCTCAGAGGCAGCGCACCTGCTTTGCATGCAGAATGTCCTGGTTCAATCCCTGCCATCTCCAGACAGTGCTGGGAGAGATTCATGACTGAAAACCTGGAGAGCCTCTGCCCAGTGTGTAGCAGCTGTGGAATAGGGAAATTCCATGCCAAGGGTCACTAGGAATAGAACTGAAAATAACTGCTGAAAATAAAACTGCTTATATCATAACACCATTTTACAAATCCATAGTGTGACTGCATTTGAAGTACTGTCTACACTTCTAGTTGCCTCTCTTGAAAAGTTTATTGTAGATTTGGAAAATGTCCAGGAAAGGGCAACCAAAATGCTCAAGGGAATGGAGGAACTCCTTGATGAGGAAAGGTTGTGACGTTTGTGACTTTTTAGATAAAGGCAAGTAAGAAGTGGTATGGTAGAAATTTATAAAATTATGCATGACAGATATTCACATCAATCTTGGCTAACCACCTAAAAAAATCCCTGCACAAATGAATAGCCCCAGACCAGACTGGCTTTGTCACTGGTCGCAAAATAACAGACCCCATTAGGAAACTACTGATTCTGATCAAACACAGCAAGGCAACTAAACTCCCACTGATGATTATGTCCCTAGACATCTTCAAAGCCTTTGGCTGCTTAGAATGGCAATACCTACTAGCAGTATAACCAACATTAGATTTGGTCCCAACTTTTTACAAACCCTCAAAACTACTCCCAAGCCTCAGCAAAATGAAGGACTAACAGTATGGACTCTAATACCATAGCTATCCAAAGAGGCACAAAACAAGGATGCCCACTGCCTGTCTTCATCCTGACTCTGGAACCCCTAGCAATCCAAATCCAGGCATCCACAGACATCAAAGGAATCCAACTCTTCTGGGTATCAGTCGTACAGGAAATATGCAAAATAACTAAGCAAGTATTAGAAGTCAGCCCAGAACTGGCCTTACTAAACATCTTACAACATAATAATGCCCACTCACATTAGAGAGCTCATAACCCACCTTCTCTCAGCAGCCAGAAGCCTCATAGCCAGATGCTGGAGAGACCTGTCAGGAGTAAACATGGACCAATGGTACCAAATAGTATGGGAAACAGCCTTACTAGAAAAATTAACCAATAAACTGAAAGTAACACAGGGACAAATAGAAGAAGATGCATTCACCCCACTATGGTTCCTCTTCATCACATACACAGCCCAACAAGACAACAAGAATCCACCGACAGCATACACATCAATCTGGCTAATCTGATCCAAAAATCCACTCCCTCACACACTCACACACATAAACAAATCTCACTACAGCCAATCAAAGGCAACCAACCAAACCTAGGCCACTCCACCAAGGAAATATAACAAGCGAACAGAAAGAGAACCCACACAAGTGACACTGACACAAAACCCCACACATATACTAAATCAGGGGTCCCCAAACTAAGGCCCGCGGCCTGGATAAGGCCTGAGGGACTTGTTTATCCGTCCCGTGACGACCCCCCCCCCACCTGCTGCTGCCGCCTGCTCTTACCGGCACTGCACTGCACAGCTGCCCACTTCCAGGTCGGAGGAGCACTGGAAATAGCCTGTGCACATGCACAAGCGTTATTTCCAGTGCACATCCGGGTTGGAGGAGGCCCGTGCACATGCACAGAAGCTATTTCTGGTACTCCTCCAACCCTGAAGTGCGCCAGAAATAGCATGTGCGCACGCATATGGGCACGCACTCGCCCGCCGTGCGATCGGCGCTGGAGACACCAGCCCAAGGTGTGGTAAGTTTGCTGACCCCTGCACTAAGCAGAAAAATAGAAGCATTACCACCCCACCCCACTCACCACCCCCCCATCCCCCCCTTTCCCCCTCTTTTCTTCCGAACCTAATACTGCATTCAACACTAATGTATCGCAGAGGCTTGACAACCATATGTCAGGAGTGCTCTGATGGTGTTTCCTGCTTGGCAGGGGGTTGGACTTGATGGCCCTTGTGGTCTCTTCCAACTCTATGATTCTATGATTCTATGAAATGAAACTGATCTGTAGAAAACGCAACTTGAAAAAAGAGACAATGCATGTATTTTTGTAAATTAAGAAATCTTTAATAAAATTATTATTTTTTTAAAAAAAATAATAATCATGGATGGCATGAAGAAAGGGGAACTACCTCTGTTTGAAACCCCTGAGATATAATAATCCAACCTCTTTAAAAGTCTCCAGTGGAGGAGAGCCCACCACCTCCTGAGACAGTACATTCTGTTAGAATGAAACTAGTTATTCAACAAATGTTTTCTGCCAGGAATTCTTCGGCTGTGATTCCTGCGTTGCAAGGGGCGGACTAGATGACCCACGGGGTCTCTGATTCTATGTTCCAGAATGCTTTCTAACCCACTTTTTTTTTTTGCAGTGTAATCCCAAAGCAGGCGAGAATTTAGTAGAAGCGTATTGCACAAGCTCAGTGTGACAATAAGATATAACTGCAGCAGCAACAACAGAGAAAAGTGTTATGTGTACACATAAAATGCTGCAAAAATAAAAATAATCATGATGTGATTGTTCAGCATATTTTTCATTAGAATCCTCTTGTGTGTGGTCTCCTTTGAATGCATGTGCTGTAAAATAAAATGGTAAAGCTGGACATACAGCTTTGAATCACGATTGCTTTTTATGAATGAGGTCTGATGTCCAATCCCTAACATCCCCAGGTAGGGCTGGGAACTACCCCTGTTTGAAACCCCCTAGAGCCCCTGCCACCAGCTTCGTAAACCAATAATTTGCCTCCTTTGTTCATGCCAGGGCCAGGGGCTTAGCAAGGGGGGTGCATTAGATGCAGTCCTCCCTGGGTGTCCCCACTGAGGGGGGTGACAAAATGGTGGGTGGCACTTACCACGGGGCCTGCAGCACGCCTGAGCCACATGTCTCTCCTGGGAGTGACGAGGTGGCTTAGGCACCCGCAGGCTCCGCGCTGCCCCAAACAGTCTGCCCATTGCTTCCCCCTCAGCTGTAGGGCGGCTGAGTGGGAGAAGAAGAGTTTGGATTTGATATCCCGCTTTATCACTACCCTAAGGAGTCTCATAGTGGCTAACAATCTCCTTTCCCTTCCTCCCCCACAACAAACACTCTGTGAGGTGAGTGAGGCTGAGAGACTTCAGAGAATTGTGACTGGCCCAAGGTCACCCAGCAGCTGCATGTGGAGGAGCAGGGAATCGAACCCGGTTCACCAGATTACAAGTCCACCACTCTGAACCACTATACCACACTGGCAGGCAGACTCCTTGGAGGCCCTGTGGTGCCCCTGTGGGTGGCTGGCCCTGACCCCGGGCGCAGGGCATGCATGCTGCCCCAGGCTCCTGATCAGCTTGCTCCGCCGGTGGCCAGGGCTGGTCCATGTTGAGCCAGGAGCTGGGAACAGGGCGACCTAATACATTTTAGCACCTGACGTGAACCGCAAAATGCAGAGGGTGGGTGAAGATCTACACCTGGAGCAAGAGGGGAATAAAGATCTACATAGTGAACAAGCTGTGGAGGAGAGAAGATCCACATCAGGAGCAAAGGGGAATCAAATCTACTTGATGTTTGAACTGGGAATCAAAGACCATTGTGGTGGGCAGGAGAAGGGGTCCACTCTGAACGACACCAGGTGGGTGCAGAATCCAGGAGACCCCAAAGGGCAGCCCTTACCATTTCCCCCCTAAGTGTGGGAGGAGAGCAACAGTGCCTCCTAATTGCTGGGATGGTTGGGAACCACACGCTCTTGGAGACAAGGTCAAAGGAAAGATTGTGATGAGGCTGCTGGCTTCCCCAGGTTATGAAGGTTGAAACTTGGAACTGGGAAGAGTGCTGGGGAACTTCATGTCCTGGGGCCAATTCTGGCCCTCCTGGCCTCTCTCTGGCCCTCAGCACTCTTCCCAGGTGATAACTTTCCCGAGCCCCATGCAACACCATCCCTGCTTTGCATACTCTTGAGATGGTTTGCTTAGCTAGAATAGGTCCTTGTACTCTGGTTGTACTTCTTGCTTCTCTGGCTAGAGGACAAAGAGGGGTGAGAGAGTGTGTGTACAACCTAGCCCACTGTACAAACAGTAAGAGTCACATTTATAGCTCTGCCCACTTTTGCCTCTGGATCTACTCACCCCTGGCATGTGGCCAGGGGCAGTGGCGTAGTGTGGGTTGTCAGCACCCAGGGCAAGGCAAGTAATTTGCGCCCCCTAACCCGTGGATTTGTGCCCCCTAACCCGTGGATTTGCGCCCCCTAACCCTAACCCCCAGATGTTGCGCCCGGTGCGGCCGGCCCCCCCTGCACCCCCCACGCTACGCCACTGGCCAGGGGTTGCCCAGTAGAGAATGCAGCCCTCTGAAACACCCACCCCTCCAATCTAAAGAGCACTTGCCCATGCTAGTCTGCCAAGGATAAATAAAACACTACACTTTGGAACTCCTTGCTTATAGACATCTGTCAGGAGCCTTCACTGTACTTTCGGCACCTCTAAAACATTTTTGTTTCAACAAATATGTGTAATGTTGATGTCTTCAGTTTATCGCTGATTTTATTTTTTCTGAATATTTTTAAATTGTTGTTTTTTTCTTCTTCAGATACTTAGGTTGTTTTATTCTCTTCTTAAACTGCTTTGAGGTTTTTTTCCAACCATCAAGTCTAATTGCACCACTGTCCCCAACATAAGGTCTACACTGTACACCCCAAGACATGTGTGAGAGAGAAGGATCATTGTTCACGAAGGGTTGTTGGTCCCTAACGGCACAGTTTGAGCTCGGAGCAGTAGTTGCCAGTTGTTGCCAGACACTTCTGGAAGTACAGAATCCTCAGTGGTTAAAATTGGCAGCAATCAGTTCTTTGACTGATGAATAAAACCGATCATTCTGGTGGCCCACAGGGGTAAAAGCGAAGCTGCCTCATTCTCTTAAGTAGCACATCTTGCTGGCGTGAAGTCTTTACATGCTTATTGCTTACATGCTTGCATGCTTGCCAAGCATCAAGTGGCATGTGAAAGACATAGTCCATATGCTGGTTTAACACACCACTGCTCTGATCTGATGAATGCAGCATCTCATAGTGCA